GTGCCAGCGGCCTCCTGACGCTGAGGGGCAGCGAAGCCGGGCAGGTGCTGTTCGGGTCCAATTAACCTTGATACAGTCGTGTTGTGGGAAGCGAGCCAGAAAAAACGCGGAGAAAGGAGCCCGGGCAAGGTTGGGCACATTCCGGTTAAAAATAGACCTGCCACAACTTGTTCTAGGAAAAGCACGGTGATTATTTAAAATTGTGTGCAGGTTGTTACACGCTGCTTCTCGTGACTCGATGTACCCAGCACCTTTGCTGCTGCAGCTGTACCCCACTAAATCCGTGCCTGCTGCACCTCCTTAGCACACAGGGCTGGCACCTGGGTCTTCTTACCCAGGTGATGTGGGCTCCCAGCACAGAGCACCCCTTCTACAAAGTTTAATCCCATTTTCCTGTATCAACACAGCCCTCTGAATCTGGGAGTGCCTTTTGGCCTCAGATTGTGCAGAACCACCAATCCCCCCAAACACCAAGGTTGGCTTTTGCGGTCAGCTGGCTTCACTAACACCTCCTGGGCTGTGGCTCAGCATTTCACAAGCTGCAGCACAAATCTCAGCAGTAAACACCCTGCTGTGGAGAAGAATGACATGAGCAACTGCTAAAACTTGTGTGCAGGAGGCAACGTGAGAAGGAAAAACAGGCTGGCCTTGACAGGGCCCTTCCCGGTGGTGTAAGGAGAAAAGCTGAGTTTGCATTGAAGAAACCATGGGTGGAAGCAGGAATGTTCCTCACAGGACCGTTGTCTGATGGAAATGCTCCCCGTTATCCTGTCAGCATCCTTGCAGGCACAGGGGGTTGGAGCTCTGTGCAGGCTCAAGGGAATTTGTATGAGGATTAGTGGTGCTGAAATCTGAGTAGAAGCCTGAGCTGTCAGCATGGAGCATTACACTGTGCCTGGGGAAACGGTGCTGCACTGCACCCACCCAGGCTGGCAGCACGAGCAGGGAGGTGGATGGATTCTCCAGAGCTTGTAAAATTCTCACCCATCAGCCCAGAGGGGTTTTCATGTCACAACAGTGCTGCTTGTACTTGGCAGCACAGGCTGGAAGCAAATATCCCAGCTCCCAGTTATCCCAGTGGTCTGTGGGGATAAACCTTTGCAGAAATGAGGCAGCATCCTGGCAGAGAGTCCCTTTTGGTCCTTGTCAGGGACATCTTTGGGCCAGCTGGGGACAGGGAACAAGGCTGAGAGGCTTTTTTAGCATTGCAGAGTCTCAGCTGGGTGAGACAGGAGGATTTCAGGGAAGTGTGGGATCCTGAGTGAGACAGAGGAATACCCCGTGCTCCCCACGCCTGGGAGCTGGCAGTGTTTGCTATTTTAATTCAATCACTAAGAAACAATAAAGGGAGCTATTTATGGGAAAGCAATGGAACTCCAGAGGAACTGGGAGGTGAGCAGTGCTGGGGGAGCTCTAATCTGTAGTTAGAGCAGCAAGAGGTGTTTTATTGAGAAGCTGAGCTCAAGATTTCCCCCTCCCCTCACTCCTTGTAGCCCTCACCCCCCTTTGGAGTCAATTAACAGCAATCAGACAGGCTGCCCTGCCCTGGGAGCAGCCCTTTGTGCTTCCAAAAGCACCCAGCAGAGCCTGGGAGAGGAGGACTTTGGTTTGGAAGATAAACTGTGCAGTATTTGGTTTCAAGAGTCCACCACATAACGCAGCTGATCAATAAATGTCCTTTTAGCTGACACACCACACTCACAGAACTTCAAGTTTTCAATACAATCCTTCGTCTCTGCTTAAATGTCTGCCTAGTCCCAAATTCCAAATGTTTTCTGGAAGTCACATAACCCAGCCAGATCCCAAACCCAAACAGCACTCAACCATAAAAGTGGTGCAGAAGATGAACAACAGGGAGAGGTTTTTGAGGAACCTACAGGAATAATGCAGCTCAGTTCATTCGTGGCATCACTTGTTTTGAAAGCTGGGGCTGATCTCACATTTGCCAGAAGGAGATACTGTGTGACACACAGCCCTGGTCTGTGGGCTGCATTGTGGACAGAGTTCAGGCCATGGAAAATGTGAAAGGGACACAAACAAACAATGGGAATGATTGGCACAAGGGCTGCAACAAGACTCAACAGCCCCACTGGCACTCGGCTGGCTTGCAGGCAGCCAGGAGGGGGGAGCCTGCCCTGCA